AAGAAGGATAGGCAGGGTCAGACCCTCAGATGTGCGAGGATTCTCCAACGATAGGTGTGTACGTGTGCTGATCTTTGTAATTATAAATTGTGAATACATGTGACTAATATTATTTTCTTTTTTATTTTGTGCATGTTACAAGTTATAAATAAATATAAACAAACAACACTAACTCGATAACATTAAATCTAAATACCAAAATGATTAATTTACTGTGTTTTTGTTATTTATTACTCCTGTTTTTAGGTATTCGGTATTCGGCCGAATAGTGAAAAATAGGCCGAATACTGAATAGTAACCGAATATTCGTTACATCACTAGTTGTTATTTCAAAACAAACATTTAATTTACATTGAATAAAACAAAAAATCATTCACAAAAGTTAAATGTTATACAAAAGAATATTACAGTATGTTTGCTTCTGCTACATTAGAAATAAACAAGTCTCTTTTTGCTAGTTGTTGCAATTCTGATAAAATTTCTTATGTTTAATTAGTAGAAAAACTCTTCCACTAGGAAATTATTTTAACACTTGTATTTTATTAGATGTTAACAACAAATCTATATGCTGAAAAGTTTTACTTAAGAATTAATGTTTATTGATTAATATTATTTTTATATTTAAATTTGTATAAATGTGTCTCAATAAAAAATGCATTTCAGTTTATATATTATATTGGGTGATTATAATTAAAGTACTTCTACTCAAAGTTGTCTGGAGAGATATTTAGCAATTCAAATGCAACAGAATCTGGTATGATGACATTTCAGAACATGCCAGACATTTCATTAAAAAGATTAGTATCAAAACTTACCACAATATCACTTTTTGCACTGCAAACAACAAAAATAAGTTTACTTTGCATAAACATGTGTTGGAGCAAAAGGTCTTGGTATAAAGTTCAACTTCTACACCAGACTGGATTGATATAAATGATAATTATGCACCATAAAAATCTTAAATTATCAGTATTTTAATATACTTAATTTTCAGACAAACATTTTTGATCTACTACTAAGATCATCTTCACATCTCTTTAATGTTCCAAAATTAGAATCCAATAATTCCAATTTTGAAACATTTAAAGAGATCTGACAATTTTATAATTCATAGATTGATGAAGCTGGAAAATAAAGTTTTTGATCATGACTTAAATCTGTTAAGCATGGTTAATGATAGAATGATTGCATTGGAGCAACATGTAGCTCTTCTTTATGTAAGAGATATACTAAGAAATTACGATGAATTTTTATTAAGCAAAGTCCAAAAGAAAGAAAAATGCAATAACTATTTAGTGCACTGGGATTATATCTCTCCCCAGACTGTTTTATAGAAATGATGCAACATAGACCAACATTTTATTTTTCAATAAGATTGATGTATAGTTTTCTAATACTGTATTTAAGAAAAATTACTATATCTGGATGTAGAATAACCTAATCTAATCTAACTCTTTTTATAACATTTTTAAATCTTAAAATATAAACAATAGATTTGATTTTATGAGTTATTAGGGCTTCTTACCAATATTAACATAAATAAAATTTCCTATGTGAATATGTGTAATTTTTGAATAAGAGAATACACACATTTTTATTATTCAATCACAAGCAAATTTATGGAAACAATATTCATATTTCTTTTGCATCTGGTATAGTTCTTTAGTTGATAATTGTTACTGATAATAAGCAAGTACAAAACAGTACTAAAATTTTATGGCTAAAATTGAATTAACATAATTTACATTAATTAATAATTTGCTTTATATATAATTATGTCAGCCAGACAATTGAAATGGTAAAAGTATCAAACTACATAAAATAATCTCTATATTAAATCATATATAAAATTAATATATATTTAACATAAAGCATTTAATTTTTTAGTGTTGTTTTTATTAAACTAAAACTGATACTTTATTGTAAGTTGTAAATAAACTTAATTATAAATAAATATTACTACATAATAAAAATATTAAATTATATTTTAAAAATTTTCAGGTGATACTAGTGTTTACAAGGATGGTGCATATAGGATTTTAGGACGTACATCTGTAGACATTATTAAAAGTGGAGGATACAAAATTAGTGCTTTGGATATAGAAAACCATTTATTAACTCATCCCAATATTAAAGAATGTGCTGTTTTAGGTTTACCAGATATAACATGGGGTGAGAAAGTTGCAGCTGTATTAGTTACTGAAAATGGTGAGGAAATCAGTATTTATGACCTAAAGGAGTGGTGCAAAGATAAACTACCTTCCTATCTTATACCTTCTGAGGTGCGTTGTATGCCTGAAATACAACGTAATGCAATGGGCAAAATAAACAAAAAAGATTTAATAAGAATAATTTTTCCAAAAGTACTAAATTAAATACTATAATTTTAGTTTTCAAGTATGTATAGATATTATAAATGATGATAATTTAATTTTAAAAATTATATCAATAATATTTTTCAAAAATGAATGGTTTATGTTCAAATGTAAATTAATTTTTAATAGTGTTTGATTGGGGAATTAATTTATTTTTTATTCAAATATAAATTCATATTTAGAAATGTAAAAAATTTTAATCAAAAACAAAAATTTATTTTGTGTAAATTTTATCACATTGTTAAATTCATATTTTCAGTAAATGAGTATAGTGGATGCCAGATTGTAATTTTACTGTACAAGATTAATAAATTTCATGTAAATTTATGGAAGTGTAAAGATGAAAATTCAAGAGTTTAACCTTGGTTTGTATGAGCAAATACTACTAAATTGGCAGTCAGTGTTTCAGATTTCCCCCCACCAGTACTCAATTGTCAACATTCAATGCTTTTTTTACCAAACACCATAATTTTTATATGTATAAATTTGAATGTTTTGATAAATGAGAGTAATATTGCATTATAAAATTGTAATTTTAAATTCCATATTACAGTAACTAGGTAACTTTAAAATACTAAAAAAATATTAATAATACTGTAATTATATTTCTAATAAAGTCTATTTTTTTTAGGAAATTAACTTTCAGATTTTAAATCCACTTATAGATTTTTTTTACATTCTATATAGAAGAAATCATCACAAATTGCTTTCTGATTGCCACTACAAAACACCAGAAATTTTATAACATTCTAATCAGATCATTATTGTCATTATCATGAACAATTTTGGTTTGTCTTATAATTTGTTCTATTTAAGCTTAAGATGTTTTTGATCACTTAGCCTACTTTTAACATGTTCCATATATTTATCTCTGAGAAGTTTATATTTTAAGGCCAATTTTGGTAATTGATTGTTATCCATTCTTATTAGATAATTTTTCAATTTTATCTAGTATGATTTAATGTTAAATATTTTATTTTATACTTTTAATAACAAAATTTTATAGTTGATTTAATTTAGTAATCCTGTCAAAAGTCTTATGTGAATAGCTTCAGATTTTTGAACATTTCTTTAGTTAGAATCAAGCCTCAGTGATCAATCTGACATTTAGCTGAATGAAAGAACTGAGTAGTGAAGGGTGAGTCAACATGTACTGAAAATTAAACATTATTACAATGATGGGCTGCAATTTTTAATTTAATTTAAAATATATGCTCTCCACCTCAAATTAGTAATGGCCCTGTACATCATACATTTCCTTTAACAATAGAGTCATGCTGGTCATCTACCTAACATCTTTCAGGGGAAAATGTTTGAATTGAAATAACATGACTTATGGCTTGCATCAGAAGTACTTATATACAGTAATTAATTGGGACCTCCTGTCTCTAAGGTTTCCATATCTGATCTTGTCTTTCATCTAATTCCATTCTTGAGATTAAGGAAAGACAAATGAGCGGGCAGACAGATGGACAACAGTAGGAATTTATAGGTCTACAATTTTTTCAAATTGCAGCCCAATTACTGAAAATGGTGAGGAAATCAATATTTTTAACCTAAAGGAATTGTGCAAAGATAAACTACCTACCTATCTTATACCTTCTGAGGAGCATTATATGCCTGAAATACAGAATAATGCAGTGGACAAAATAAACAAAAAAGATTCAATGAGAATAATTTTTCCAAAAGTACTAAAATTAAATACTTTATTCTTAGTATACAAATATGCATAGATATTGTAAATGATGATAAAGATGTTATAAATGACATAGTGTCAAACTAATTATGAAAAATTCCTGACACTCTGCATTGAAATCAAACTTGAGCTGCTCAAAATAGAAACTGACACCTGTATAACTCTGGTCATATGATCATCAAATATTGATGAATGAAAATAGCTCTCCACAATTGTTTTTATCCTGTTCAGACACATTTCAAGTTAGACTAGAGCAGTAATTCCCAATTGGTTTTTCCTGCGTACCACTTCAAGAAAGAGCTGAAACTCGCGTACCCCTTATAGCAGAAATTCATATTAATCCATACTAATATTATAAATTCGAAGGTAATTCTGTCTGTCTGTTTGTTACCTTTTCCCGTCTAAACCACTAAACAAGTTTTAATAAAATTTGGCACAGAGATAGCTTACATGTTGGAGATGGACATAGGCTACATTTTACTGCGAGAAAATATCTTACTCCCATGAGATAATTTGATATAATGGGGCAAAGCTGTGGATAGACAGCTAGTGATAAATAGAATAAGCTTTTTTACATTTATTACCTTTAAAATACAATTCTAATAATAAAGAAAATTACATAAGGTTATTTAATTTTATTGTGACAAATGTGCACGATTTTCTTTGCACAACTTTGTAAAATCTGGTTGCTTTTTGGTCAGCTTCAGTCTCAAGTCATCTTCGAGTTGAAGTCGGTGACAATATTTAGTTTTCATGTTTGTCATGGCCGAAAGTCCGCTCTCGCAGAGGTATGCTGTGCAAAATGGTAGTAAATATTTTATTGCCGCTTAGCTGACATGAAAATAATGATAATTGTACAATTTTTGTTCCTTGCGTAAGAATTTCAATTAGGTATTATCACAAATGCATTTTCTTGATGAAATTTCGAGAATATTTTTAGTTATAAATAAACGAATTTGTGCATTCGACATCATGTTGTAAATTGCTGAATTTTTGATGGTCCACCCATTATTTTTTTTATTGCTTTATCTCATGCATTTAAATTTTAAATCGACCAATTTTAGATTTCCGCGCGTACCCCTTCATGCAACTTCACATACTCCCAGGGGTACGTGTACCACTAATTGGGAACCATGGGACTAGAGTAATCAAATTATTCATTGCAACATTTTTTTTTCAAACATATTCTTTCAATTTTTTTTTTATTTAGTCTCAATTTCATTAACAGTCCATTTGTTAAATTTTGAATCATCATAAAATATTTTCTAATAATATAATATTCTATGTCTGTATGTATGTAGCTCTATGAGAACTGTTTTTTTATTGGAAGATTGTGCATTTTTTAACAACTGCACTCAAATTCAAATTTTTTAGAACTACATAGTAGATCTAACAAGATAGCAAATTCCAAAAAGTACTTGTAGCCAGGATTTTAGAGTAGGTGTCTTGATCATAGCTCCCAGTTCCAGCTTTGTGCCAGATGAATTGAATTTTCTGGCTCCAGCCAAATATTTAGTTTATAAGTNGTTGTTATAAATGATCTGTGAAATAAATAAGAAACTATTTATATTATAAAGTGAGAATCTTTAATTAATAATGTATTAAATCTTTAACTAATAATAATTTTACAGACTTTGTAGGAACACCTTTAAAGGGAGTTAAAGTTCGTATTGTTAAGGATAATCCTTCTTCAAAAGTTGGCTATGATGTTATTGTAGAAGGAGATTATAAGAAGACTAATATTATTAAAAATCCAGGTGATGAAATTGGAGAACTTCAAGTTATGAGTGGAAGTGTATTTAAAGAATACTGGAATAAACCAGATGAGACAAAGAAAACGTTTACATCTGATGGCTGGTTTAAGACAGGTAAATATTATTGATCTTTTTTGTGAAATATAATGCAGGATATGATGTGCTGTATAATGTATATGTTACTGTGAATGACCAACATCTGGCAAATGTCAACATTCTCTGGTGAATGTCAGCTTTCACACAGTCGTTTTGTGTATGTATGAAATATTTGCTAAATATCATTATTTCTCACTTACACCGGCAAATGTTGACATTCAGCATGCACTGATTGTGAATGTTGAATGAAAATATTTTTATTACGTTAAGACAAAAATGAAACATTTTAATATGTGAAAATAGGAGAAAACTTAAGTAACAGCACTGTAAATAAACTTTTGAACCTAAAATGAACAGTACATTCTTAATCATTAAAGAAAATAATACAATAATAAATTTACACATAAATTATGTGATTAACGTTATACAATCTTATTTATTGCAACAACTTAAACTGTTGTGACACTTTGAATTGCACAAGAGTCCCTTGCTTTTACAACTGCATTTATTCATGGAACACTTCTTTTTGCAATGACAGCGTGTATAGCCTTGCCCTCCACTTTTCAAATTAGCTGCAGCTGCTTCTCTCAGCGATATTTCTTGAGAAGAAATCTCATCTATGGAAAATAACTTTTCTTTACAAATTACAAACTGATTACGTTATTACATGATTATGAACTGATCTGTTAATGGTGTCTTTTATTCGGATATCGCTGATGCCTTACCGACGATCCCTCCATCCTCTGCTACTCGACCTGACAAACCAATCCCCACCTCACGGGATGAAAAGACCTTGTTCTATCTCCAGCTATCCACAAAGGATTTGGCGACAGACTGTCGCCTCTGTCGACATCGGCTTCTCGGGTGTTGTTTCGACCTCCACCAAAGCTTATCTGTGCTTGTTGACATACACCGGTGATTGTTCAAATGTATAATAATATAACCAAATATTCGGACTTTCACCGACGTATTTTGTATGCATCGACATTCACTGGAGAATATCGACATTCTCTAATTTCGATCTTTCACAGTAACATATATATTTGATAGATAAAAAGCAATAACATTAAAAATATGGCATAGGCAGAAAAATCAAATGTAAAATATTCTTGTACAAAACATTTTTTTACATTTTTAAAGATATAGTTTAAGATTACTATTTTGTTATGTGCAAATTTTTCATCATTGCTTTAATTAAAAATAAATGTTTTGATCCATTTTTACTCAATTTTA